AATAAAATAAATAAATAAATAAAATAAATAAAATAAATAATAATAATAATAATTACCTGATTAGGGTCTTCTTCTCCTGCTGCTGCTGCTGCTGCTGCTGCATTAGATATATCAAAGTCTACAGCTAACCCTAATCTTGCTGCACCTGCTAACATTAATTTCTTTCTTCTTCTTATATCCTCTACCTATAAATAAATAAATAAATAAATAAATAAATAAATAAATAAATAAATAAATAAATAAATTATATTGTATTATATTATATTATAATGGGGAGGAAAGGGGAGGGAGAAGGAAGAGGGGAAAGAAGAAAGAAATAAATAATACTATTCATGTATTGTATTAAGATGACTCTAAACCCTAAACCCTAAACCCTAAACCCTAGATGCTTACCCTGGTCTTTGTATACTTTGCATCGAGCATATCAGCTAGTGCGGGTCCATCTTCGTCATCTGCTGCTCGTGCTGCTGCTGCTGTTGCTGCTGCTGTTACTGCAGCAGGAGATTCTTCTTCATTATCATCTGCTGCTGTTGCTGCTGCTTCATGGAATGTTGGCTCAGCAGCAAACTGCACACGACGACGCCTCGTGCTGCTGTCATTGCCGGGGGCCCCTGGGGCCCCCTGTTGTTCTCCAACGCCATCTGAAGAAGGAGCTTCTCTCTTGCCTTTCTGCATACTCTGTAGAGAAGGATTAGGGTTTAGGGTTCAGGGTTTAGGGTTTGCGGCCGACTACGGATGCCGCGATCAAGGAGCTAAAAGGAAGCCGAAGGGGTCATCCGTACAAAGGAAGAAAGAAGAAAAGGAAGAAATAAAGAGAAAAGAATCGCAATAAAGAATATAAATACAAGATAAACAATAAAAACAGAGGAGAAGAAGAAGAGAAGAAGAAACAGACAGGAAAAGTTGAACGCTACTTCGGTGTCTGTACACCTCAGAATAAGAACGCAAAATCGCGCATGCAAGAGTTGTTTTCTTCACTAAAAACGAGAAAATAAAGAGCTAAACGTAGATAAAAGAACAATAAATTCACTTATTTAATTAATTAAATCTATTTTATGCATGCATGCACAATAAAAACAGCGAAAGAGCCCTCACAGACCCATACAGGTTTCCTTGTATTCGCGCAACCGCCACAGCTATTTGCAGCAAGAGGAATACAAGGAGGATATCCCTTTTCTATGAATATTTCCTTGTATTTGTTTGTTTATTTGTTTTTATTTTTAAATCCAATTTATTTAAGTCTTTTTTTCTCCCCAAAGACGCCGAAGTTGCCGCTGCTGCTATTGCAGCGGCAGCACGACGGGCAAGGGGTTTAAGGATATTCAGGTGTAAGTACACCTGAATTTGCAACAAATTAGAGGAAAGAAGTTTTTACGACGATTTTTTAATTATGGGGGCGGCAGAAGGAAAAGTAGGCGTTGAGGGGGGGCGTCAAGAGGAGGAACAACAGCAGCAGCAAGAGCAGCAACAAGAGCAGCAGCAAGAGCAGCAAAAGGAAGAAGAGAGTGAGCAATCTCAAGAAGAAGAATCTGAAGGAGAAGACGACGATCCTGGTGGTGGAGCAGCAGACGCAGCAGCAGCAGTAGAAGCAGCAGCAGCCGATGCAGCAGCAGCAACAGAAGCTAAAGCAGCAGACGCGGCTGCATCAACAGAAGCAGCAGCAGCAGACGCAGCAGCAGCAGCAGACTCAGCAGCAGCAACAGAAGCAGCAGCAGAAGACGCAAAGGAAGAAATAGAAGAAGAAGCAGCAGAAGGTGCAGAAGAACCGGAAACAGCAGCAGCAGCAGCAGCAGCAGCAGCAGATGGCAAAACTACACCATCAGCAGCAGGGAATTCAGAGGCAGCAGCAGCAGCAGCAGCAGAAGTATCACCAGTAAAAACAGCAAAAAAGCGTGCAGCAGCAACAGCAGCAGCAACAAGATCTAAGCAGCGGGGAAAGAAGCAAAGGGGGCCCCCTGCCCTCCGTCAAGGAATTCCTCCTCCTCCTCCTCCTCCTCCTTTTGCTGCTCCTTTTCCCCCTCCTCCTCCCCCTCATCCTGCAGCAGCAGCAGCTGCTATGGCAGCAGCAGCAGCAGCAGCAGCAGGAGGTCGTGGTGTATTGCCTCCTCCTCCTCCTCATATTGCAGCAGCAGCAGCTGCAGCAGCAGCAGCAACAACAATTGCTGTTGCAGCAGGGCAGCAACCACCCCCTCCTTTTGCTGCTGGTCTTCCTCCTCCCCCACCACCCCACACATTTGCTGCTGCAGCACCACGTCACCGCCACTACCACCACCAGCAGCAGCAGCAGCTGCAGCAGCAGCAGCAGCAGCAGCAGCAGCAGCAGCAGCAGATGGACCCTTTACGTGAATTAGCCTACTTTACGTTACTTAAGGAGCGCCTAGAGCAAGGGGAGCAGGGTGTAGCAGCAGCAGAGGCTGCTGCTGCTGCTGCAGCAGCAGCAGCAGCAGGAAATACAGCAGCAAATGAGGAGACACAGATGCTGCAACAATTACAATCCGTAAAAGAATACGAAGAATGTAAAACCCTTGTGTCCTGTATATTATCTCGTGCTGCTGTGTCTCCTCGTGTTGCTGCTGCTGCTGCACTACGTCTTGCTATATTAGGGTCTAGGGAATTCCAGCAGCAGCAGCAGCAGCAGCAGCAACACCAACAAATACAAAAAGCATCCAAGACACCTACCTCTGTTACTGCACATACAGATATACCTTTCTTAGAGTATCAATTCGATGACAGGTAAGGGTTTAGGGTTTAGGGTTTAGGGTTTAGGGTTTAGGGTTTGACAGAACAGTTGTATGGTGGTGCATGGGGGTTGATGAGCATTTTTATTTTTAGGGTTTAGGGTTTAGGGTTTAGGGTTTATGGTTATTATAAGATTGTGTTACAATTGGAGATTAGGGTTTAGGGTTTCGAGTTGAATTAGGATATTTTAGGGTTTAGGGTTTAGGGTTTAGGGTTTAGGGTTTATGTTGGCCATGCAGGTTTAACGATTTTCGTCAGCGCATGCGTTTAGCGCTAAACCCTTTGCTGCAGCAAGTGCAGCACAGTTACCAGCACCGTCATTTGCTGCAGCGCCAGCAGCAGCAGCAGCAGCAGCAGCAGCAGGAGAATATATTATGTGCAGAAATATTAACAGATATATTAGGTGCATGCGCTCTGTCTCATGTAGTGAGTATGGATCGTGTTAGGGTTTTAGGGTTTGCATTATTGAATAATTTACAAACCCTAAACCCTAAAACCCTAATACAAACCCTAGCTAATTATACTAAATGCATGCAATTAGCAGCAGATAAACATGGAGGTATAAATATAACAACAGAGGATCGAGGGTTTACTAATGCTATTATTAATGAGTTATTAACTTGCTCAGGGGAGCACCAAACCCTAAACCCTAATTATATAAACCCTAATCCTATAAACCCTAATTCTACAAACCCTAATAATAATAAAAACAATAATAATAATAATAATAATAATAATAATAATAATAATAATAATACAGTAAACCCTAATAATATGACAAACCCTAAACCCTTAATCCTAAACCCTAGAGAAACCCTCAAAACCCTAAACCCTAAAGATATAACCCTTCTTCTTAAATCTTGTGATAGACTTTCTCTTAATTCTCCTTCCTTAATGCAACAAATTGGCAAAATTGCATTAAAAAAACAAAATAATTTTAATGCAGATTCTTGGTCTATTGTTGTATCAGGTAAACCCTAAACCCTCATAAACCCTCATAAACCCTAAACCCTAAACCCTTATTATATATATAAACCCTTATTAACTCTTATAAACCCTTATTTTAACCCTTATAAACCCTAGATAGCGCTAAACCTCTAAACCCTTAAAACCCTTAAACCCTTTTCTCTCCTATCCAATCCATAAATACAATAAAAGTGTTTATTATATTAAATTAGGGTTTAGGGTTTACATTTTTTTTTTTTTTTTTTTTTTTTTTTTTTTTTTTTTTTTTT